TTGTGCTAAGTAATCTACCATCGATTGTTGTTTAGTGTCATATTCAGGATTAACAGGCATACCTAAATTTTGTGGATAATTAAAAATTTTGGTAGCAATTTGCTCTGTTAAAGATTCTAGTCCACTAACTAAAACTACTTTGAAATCTAATATTTTATTTGCTAAAGTCATATGTAAGTGAAATTAATTATATTTTAACAATTTTCTTATCACTGAAAATTATAAGAGAAAGCTGAAAAACTCATAACTTAATCATTGATTTAAAAATGTTTAAATTTTTCATAGCTCCTTAAACAAAAAAGTTTTTTTCCTAAGAATAATCCTTAATTGGTTAGTCGGTTTGAAAATAAAATCATTACCTGTAATATAAATAAAAAAAAATAAAAAATAAAGTCTTATCCAAAGGAATCAACATTAAAAAGTGTCGGGATAGTAGGATTTGAACCTACGACACCCTGGTCCCAAACCAGGTACTCTACCAAGCTGAGCTATATCCCGTTACATATACATTTAATTATAGATAATAAATCCGGTATCTGCAAACTCTAGCAAAATCTTAAGTTTTCTTAAAAGAATTACCTGAAAAATGAGTCGAATATTTTTCCATTAAAATATTATAAAATATTAAAGATTTAATAATTTATAATATTTCAGAAAAAATTAGATATTTTTCTCAATGTAGTCTAAAGCGTCTGCTACAGTTGCCATTTCACCCGCAACTTCATCATCAATTTCAATACCAAATTCTTCTTCAAACGCCATAACTAATTCAACAACATCTAAAGAATCAGCACCTAATTCTTTTGTAAAATCAGCTGATGGTACAACCGAATCTTTATCAATACCTAATTGGTTACTAACAATCGTTTGTAATTTATCTAAAGTTTCTGACATAGCTCTTAATGCTCCTCTCGTTTTATAATAAACAGATCACACATTTATTATACCCGAAAAAAAAGTTAGAACATAAGAAATTGAAATAATTTAGTAATTTGATAAATACTACCACGATTTATACCATAAATCGGAATTTTTTTCTTACTTGCGAGATGCTGTAATTTTTGATTTTGTTGTAAATGTTTTTTCAAACCAATAATTAGACTAGCTTTTTTAACTTCTTTTGTTAATAAAACATTGAGGTTTAATTTTAAAATAAAAAAATTTTGATTAAGTTGTAAAACTTAATCAAAATAAGTTTTTAATAGAGTTTAACTATTTTGAAACTTGAATTAATTCATTAAATGTAGGCGTATCTACTACTGCAAGTTGAGCTAACATTTTACGATTTAATTCAATATTTGATTTTTTCAAGTTATGAATTGCTCGACTATATGTTAAACCGTTAACACGCGATGCTGCGTTAATACGTGTAATCCAAATTCGTCTAAACATACGTTTTTTCTGCTTACGACCTACATATGAATATCTAAGAGCTTTCATCACTTGTTGATTAGCTACTCTAAAAAGACGTGAATGAGCACCACGATAGCCTTTTGCTAGTTGTAAAATTTTTTTGCGACGTTTTCGAGCGACATTTCCTCGTTTGACTCTAACCATTGGTAATTTTAATAAGGTAACATTAATTTAATAGGTTTACTATCACTAGTACTAACACAAATAGTTTGTGATAATCTTCTTTTTTGAGTATTTGATTTTTTTCGTAAAAGATGACCTTTATAAGCGTGACGACGTAAAAAATTACCAGCGCCTGTCTTCTTATAACGTTTTGCTGCGGCTTTTCTAGTTTTTAATTTAGGCATAAAATTTTTAATTTTTTAAGAAAAGAATAATTATTTTCACTGGATTAAATATACCTAACTAAATTTATATATATATATTAATAAGATCTAGTGATTAATTATACTTCTAGAATATAGTAAAAGATTAGAAATATATTATGGAATTATATTTTTTTTGTCAATAAAGAATAATTATTAACTTCTTAGGATAACCACTTAATCTATAAAATAATTAATAACTTATTTTAACAATACTAAAATAAGTTATTAAGAGAAATTTTTGTTTTATTCTTCTGTTTCTTCTACAACTTCTTTTAATTCATCTAATGCAAAATTATTAGAATTTGTACCAGCATAATTAACGCTTTCAAATCGTACTAATGCGGGATAGCGAATACCACTTTGATCAATTGTTGCAACTGTACCAACTTGATTAAACCAGTACGATTCTTTACGTAAAATGCGAACTTTTGAACCACGACCAACCATAATATTATTTCTGTAAAATTTTATTAATATTATATATATATAAGCTTAATTTTAACAATAAAAATTTTAAAAATTAAACAACAAATCAATATCTATGTTGTTTTCAAAAATTTAACTGTGTTATACTTAATAGTAATTAAAAATTTACATAATAAAAATGAATCGAAATACATTACGAAATATACTTATCGCAATTATTTTAGTAAGTGGGATTAGTGTTGGGATTAAAAAATTCAATTTACTAGGTTTTGAAAGTCCTGAAAACATCCGAAATACAGCTCAGTTAAATCAAAATGCTGTAAGCTCACGAATGACATATGGCCGTTTCTTAGAATATTTAGAAATGGGTTGGGTTAAACAAGTTGATTTATATGATAATAGTCGAAATGCAATTATCCAAGCCTCAAGTCCAGAATTAGGAAACCGTCCACAGACAATTCGAGTAGAAATTCCAGTAGGAGCATCTCAATTAATTCAAAAATTAAAAGAATATAATATTGATTTTGATGCACATCCGGCAGAAAGAAAAAATCTTTTTGTAAGTATTGCTGGTAATATTCTATTACCAATTATCTTTATTACAGGTTTAGTTTATTTCTTCCAAAACTCTGAAAACTTTGGTGGGAATAATGGTCAATCACCTATGAGTTTAGGAAAATCAACTGCGCGTTTTGAACGTCGACCGGATACGGGAGTTGGATTTAAAGATATTGCTGGTATTGATGAAGCAAAAGCAGAATTTGAAGAAATTGTATCGTTTTTAAAAGAACCTGAAAAATATACAATTGTAGGGGCAAAAATTCCAAAAGGTATTTTATTAGTAGGACCTCCCGGAACTGGTAAAACTTTATTAGCAAAAGCAATTGCCAATGAAGCAGATGTACCATTCTTTAGTGTTGCGGGTTCAGAATTCGTTGAAATGTTTATCGGTATTGGTGCCGCACGAGTTCGTGATTTATTTAAAAAAGCTTCTGAAAATGCTCCTTGTATTGTTTTCATTGATGAAATTGATGCCGTAGGTCGTGAACGTGGCGCCGGTGTTGGTGGTGGTAATGATGAACGAGAACAAACATTAAATCAGTTATTAACTGAAATGGATGGTTTCAAAGAAAACAAAGGTGTAATTGTTGTTGGTGCAACAAACCGTGTTGATATTTTAGATGCAGCCTTATTACGACCTGGTCGATTTGATCGTCAAGTAACTGTAAACTTACCTGATCGTTTAGGTCGTGTAGGAATTTTAAAAGTTCATGCCCGAAATAAACCATTAAGTGAAGATGTTTCATTAGTTCAATTAGCAAACAGAACACCAGGTTTCTCAGGTGCAGATTTAGCTAACTTATTAAATGAAGCGGCGATTTTAGCAACTCGTTATAAAAAATCGAGTATTACTAAACAAGAAGTGAATGAAGCTGCTGATCGAATTATTGGTGGTATTGCAGGCACTCCATTAGAAGATACTAAAAATAAACGTTTAATTGCTTACCATGAAGTTGGGCATGCGATTACAGGTTCTGTACTAAAATCTCATGATGAAGTGGAAAAAATTACTTTAGTTCCTCGTGGTGCTGCTAAAGGCTTAACATGGTTTACACCAGAAGAAGATCAAAGTTTATTATCACGCTCTGCTTTATTAGCACGAATTATTGGTACATTAGGCGGTCGAGCAGCAGAACAGGTTGTTTTTGGTGATCCAGAAGTAACAACAGGTGCAAGTAGTGATTTACAACAAGTAACAAACTTAGCCCGTCAAATGGTTACACGATTTGGTATGTCAAATATTGGTCCAATGGCATTAGAAGATGAAAATACAGGTCAAGTATTCCTTGGTGGAAATATGACTCAAGGCTCTGAATTTGCAGAAAATATTGCTGATCGAATTGATGATGAAGTTTGTAAGATTATTAATTACTGTGAGCAAAAAGCCATTGAAATTATTTCTGATAACCGAGTAATTATTGATCTAGTAGTAGAAAAATTACTTGATGTTGAAACTATGGATGGTGAAGAATTCCGTGAATTATTAAGTACTTACACGGTTTTACCACAGAAAAATACCCCATACGTTTCTAAGTTTAATTAATAATTGTTAATTCTTATAAAATTTAACTGGAAATATATTGCTATATATATACTCTAAATATAGAATATACTTAGAATAGATCTAATACAATTTAAACGTCATTTTAAATTGTATTAATCAAAATTATTTATAATTTACTTTAAGTATTTCAAAGAGCGGAAACCACTATGGCAAAAAAAGTATGATTGAACGCGAAAAAAAGCGTATCAAATTAAATAATAAATACAACAGTAAACGTCAAAAGTTATTAAAAGAATACCAAACAACTGAAGACTTTAACTTAAAATTAGAAATTCATTCTAAGATTCAAAAATTACCACGAAATAGTGCAAAAATCCGTATTCGTAACCGTTGTTGGAAAACGGGTCGTCCTCGTGGATACTATCGTGACTTTGGTATTTCACGTCATGTATTACGTGAAATGGCACACCAATGTTTATTACCGGGTGTAACAAAATCAAGTTGGTAATAAATTAAAATTAAACTAAAATAAAAATAAATTAAATTGAAATTTATAAAATTTCAATTTAGTTTTAACTTAAACTCTAACTCAAATCTTTTAACGGAACATCTATTCCTTAGAATCAAAAAAGTAGGTAAATTTAATGAAAATCAATGAAGGACATATAATATGATCTATGATTCACAAGTTTATATTGCATTAGTAATTGCAGTTGTAGCTAGCGTTTTAGCAATTCGTTTAGGTGCAACACTTTATAATTAAAAAAAATTTTAATAAATTCTATTAGAAACTTATTTCTGATAGAATTTATCAGTTTAAAAATTACAAACTTATTGAAAATAAAGTGAATTTCACTTTATTTATATTTATTAACTTTATAAATTTAATTCCAAATCATGGTAGCAAAAGATTTAAAAAAATTTAGTAGTCCCGTATTCCCATTTACAGCAATTGTAGGTCAAGAAGAAATGAAATTAGCCTTACAATTAAATGTAATTGACCCTAAAATTGGTGGTGTAATGATTATGGGTGATCGTGGTACTGGAAAATCAACAACAATTCGTGCAATTGCTGATTTATTACCAGAAATTGAAGTTGTTAAAGATGATCCATTTAACTCACATAAATCAGATTTAGATTTAATGGGAAATGAAGTTAAACAGGCGATTCAAAACGATGAAACAATTGAAACAGAATTAATTAAAATTCCAATGGTGGATCTTCCTCTAGGTGCAACAGAAGATCGTGTTTGTGGAACAATTGATATTGAAAAAGCCTTAACTGATGGTGTTAAAGCTTTTGAACCAGGTTTATTAGCAAAAGCAAACCGTGGTTTACTTTATGTTGATGAGGTTAACTTATTAGATGACCATTTAGTTGATATTTTATTAGATTCAGCAGCATCTGGTTGGAATACTGTTGAACGGGAAGGTATCTCGATTCGCCACCCAGCTCGTTTTGTATTAGTTGGTTCAGGAAACCCTGAAGAAGGTGAATTACGACCACAATTATTAGATCGTTTCGGTATGCACGCTGAAATTCGTACGGTAAAAGATCCATTATTACGAGTAAAAGTTGTTGAAGAACGTACTTCGTTTGACCAAACACCACAAGTATGGCTTGATAACTATGCTGAACAGCAACAAGAATTACGTGATCGTATTGTTACAGCACAAAACTTATTACCAACAGTTGAATTAGACTATGATTTACGTATTAAAATCTCAGAAGTATGTAGTCGTTTAGATGTTGATGGATTACGTGGAGATATCGTAACAAATCGTGCAGCAAAAGCTCATGCTGCGTACCATAACCGTACTAAAGTAACATTAGAAGATATTTCTGCAATTATTACTTTATGTTTACGTCACCGTTTACGTAAAGATCCATTAGAAGCAATTGATTCAGGTGATAAAGTATCAAAAGTCTTTAAAGAAATTTTTGAAATTGAAGATTAAAATATAGTATTATGTTAAATTTTCTTTGGATCCTTTTAAGTTTATTTTTGATTGTAATAATTTTTCTACGCGCACCACAAAATAGCGGGTTAGCAAGTTTTGCTACAAAAACAAATTTATTAGGTTCCCCAAGTTCTGCTGAACGAACATTAAATAACGTCACGTTATTAGCTATTGGTATTTACCTACTATTAGCTATTCAATTAAACTTTAATAATCTTTAATAACAAAAGATTATTAAAGTTTAATTATAATATTTTGTATTTAGTTTAATACTTATACTTTTGTTCTTGATAAATTAACGGGACTGACGAGACTCGAACTCGCAACTTCCGCCGTGACAGGGCGGTGCTCTAACCAATTGAACTACAATCCCAAAATTACTATCTTTATTTTAGATAAAGGAACGATAAATGTCAAATTATTTTTTAGTAAAGGAGAAACAGGGATTCGAACCCTGGGTACAAAGAGTTGTACGATAGATTAGCAATCTATTGCTTTCGACCACTCAGCCATTTCTCCTTGAATAATTTGTTTACAAAAGTAGATGGCTCTGGTGGGATTTGAACCTACGACCTTGGGCTTATGAGTCCCCTGCTCTAACCACTGAGCTACAGAGCCTTAATCTACATATTCGTATATTTATTGTAACATGAAAATGACTAATGTGAAAATTTTTTTTCATCTTTTCATAAATAACTAACAATGATTCACGGATTGTTTGAAACTTTTTAAGATAATATATAATATTAAAAATAGAATTATAGAAAAAATAAAACATTATGAATGATTTTTGGGCAAATATTGTTCGCTACCCTCGATTTTTTATTAGTAGTTTAGTTGGATTAATTTTAGTTATCTTAACACCTTTTCGAAATTTATTTAAAAATCCAAAATCTCGAATTGTGGTAATTTTATTTCTATTAATATTTTTATTAAGCCTATATTTCATATTAATTAATATGGTAGGACTTTAAAAAATTTGATATGGGCCGAGTTGGATTTGAACCAACGTAGCGAAACGCAGCGGATTTACAATCCGCCCCCTTTAACCACTCGGGCACCGACCCTATTATATACTAATAATATAGCAAAATCTGGGAAATAAAACAACATTAAAAATATTTAATTATATATATTGACTAAATTAATAGATAATATGTATAATAAATATATACAATAGTATAAGTAGTTATTGGGTAATTAACTCAGCGGTAGAGTGTCTGCCTTACAAGCAGAAGGTCACAGGTTCAAATCCTGTATTACCCAAACTTCTAACACGGGCCTATCGTCTAACGGATTAGGACAGAAACCTTCTAAGTTTCCAATGTAGGTTCGATTCCTACTGGGCCTATACTCAATTTTTTGTAGATTAATTAAAGCTATTTGAATAATTAACGAATTCTTTAAAGAACTTTGTGGATTTCATAATTTAAATAAAAAATAATCAAAAAAAAAAGAATAATTCTGAAATTAAATCAGAATTATTCTTATAGATAGTTGTACTAATTAAAATTAATTAGTAACGACCACCTTCTGCATTACGTTGAACACTGTAACTCTTAATGCTGTAAGTGATGAAACGACCAGCGCCATCAGTACGGTCTAAGTAGAAACCAGGTTCGTTAGCTGGACGGTTTACGATGAAAGACATCGCACAACTTTCAGTACCGTAACTTGCGTTGAACGCGTTCATACGGATGTAACCTGGTGCACATGCTTTACGAGCTTCGTTTAACTCGAACATTACAGAACCAGAATCTTTAATGTCGAATAATGGTAAACCCCATAATTCCCAGTAGCTGTTACGTGGGTGTGGATCATCTGTCCACTCAACGTTCATAGCCCAACCTTTTGAAATACAGTAAGCAATTTGTTTTTCAATTTGAGCGTCAGTTAAATCAGGTAAGAAAGAGAAGCAACCTTGTGTAAGTCTCACTATTCAAATACTCCTTTAAATGTTAAAAGTAATTTATTATACGTTTGCTGTTGCTGTTTCAGCGAAATCAGCTGTATCTGTAGAAGTGTAGTTAAAACTAATATCCTTCCATAAATCTAAAGCTGTTTGTAAAGGACCACATGATTTAGCAGCATCACGTAAGATTACTGGACCAACTTGTGGGTTGAAGTAATCAGCACCTTCGTTACGAGCCATAACCATTGCTTCTAAAGCAACACGGTTAGCTGTAGCACCGGCTTGGATACCATCAGGGTGACCAATTGTACCACCACCGAATTGTAATACTACATCATCACCTAAGTAGTAAATTAATTGGTGCATTTGACCACAGTGGATACCACCAGAAGCTACTGGCATACACTTACGTAAACTAGCCCAATCCATTTCGAAGAAGATACCGTATGGTAAGTTTACATCTAAAGTTGTTAAACGTAATGTATCGTAGAAACCTTTAATCATTAAAGGATCACCTTCTAATTTACCTACTACTGTACCAGCGTGAATGTGATCTACACCAGACATACGCATCCATTTACAGATAACACGGAAGTTAATACCGTGGTTCTTTTGACGAGCGTAAGTTGAGTTACCCGCACGGTGTAAGTGTAATAACATATCGTTTTCACGAGACCATAATGCGATACTTTGGATCGCTGTGTAACCCATTACTAAATCGATCATGATAATTACAGAACCTACTGCTTTAGCGTATTCAGCACGTTTGTAAACTTCTTCCATTGTAGCAGCTGTTACGTTTAAGTAAGAACCTTTACATTCACCTGTAGCAGCAGAAGCACGGTTAATACCTTCCATACAGTATAAGAAACGCTCTCTCCAACGCATGAATGGTTGAGAGTTAATGTTCTCATCATCTTTTAAGAAGTCTAAACCACCTTTTAAACCTTCATAAACTACACGACCGTAGTTTTTACCAGATAAACCTAATTTAGGTTTTACAGTAGCACCTAATAATGGGATACCGTATTTGTTTAAACGCTCACGTTCTACAACGATACCTGTAGCAGGACCTTGGAATGTTTTTAAGTATGAGTGAGGAATACGCATATCTTCTAAACGTAAAGCAGATACTGCTTTGAAACCAAATACGTTACCAATGATAGACGCAGTTAAGTTAGCTAAAGAACCTTCTTCGAATAAATCACATTCGTATGCGATGAAAGCGAAGTATTGTTCTGGAGTGTTTGGAACTGGATCTACACGGTAAGCTTTAGCACGGTAGCGTTCACAAGCTGTTAATAAATCTGTCCAAACAACAGTCCATGTTGCTGTTGAAGATTCACCAGCTACTGCAGCTGCAGCTTCTACTGGATCTACACCGGCTTGTGGTGTGATACGGAATAATGCTAATACATCAGTATCTTTAACTGAGTATGCAGCATCCCAGTAACCCATTTTAGCATATGGAATTACACCAGATTCGTAACGGTCACTTTTAATTCGAGTCCGTTCTGATACAGATTGAGACATGTATTTCTCCTTAAAATAAAAAGGCAATATATAATAGATATAACTAATTTAAAAAATTAGTCCTATCGGTTGAAGTCTTGAGAACAACCTTAATAATAAGTATAACATGCGATACAAAGAGGCGGTCAGAATATTTGTTTATATTTAGTATAACTTAAAAGAATACTTGTTATACAGTTAATTACTTTAAATCATTTAATAATTACTTTATAATAATAATTACAAATCCTTGCATTAAGAACTTTAAAATATAATTTATTTAATAACTTTATTTTTTATGATTAATCAATCAAATAAAACTTTAAATACTAATATTACAAAATTAGTAAATCAACCATATAAATATGGATTTTCAACAACAATTGAAAAAGACATTATTGAAAAAGGTTTAAATACCGATGTCGTACGTTTAATTTCGACAAAAAAACAAGAACCTGAGTTTTTATTAAATTTTCGTCTAAAAGCTTATAAAAAATGGCAACAAATGTCTTGCCCAGAATGGGCACAGTTAAAATTTTCTGAAATTGACTATCAAGACGTTATTTATTATTCTGCTCCTAAATTAAAGAAAAAATTAAATAGTTTAGATGAGGTTGATCCAGAATTATTAGAAACATTTGAAAAATTGGGTATTTCTTTAACGGAACAAAAACGGTTAACCAATGTTGCGGTTGATGCAGTTTTTGATAGTGTTTCTATTGGAACAACTTTTAAAGAAGAGCTTGCTGAACATGGGATTATTTTTTGCTCAATGGCAGAAGCTATTCAAGAATACCCAGATCTTATTCAAAAATATTTAGGAACAGTTGTACCAATTGGAGATAATTATTTTTCTGCTTTAAATTCAGCTGTTTTTACAGATGGTTCATTTTGTTATATTCCAAAAGATGTAAAATGTCCGTTAGATCTTTCAACATATTTTAGAATTAATGATCAACAATCAGGTCAATTTGAAAGAACATTAATTATTGCTGATAAAAATAGTCAGGTAAGTTATTTAGAAGGCTGTACAGCACCTCAATATGATAATAATCAATTACATGCTGCAATTGTTGAATTAATTGCATTTGAAAATGCTAATATTAAATATTCAACAGTTCAAAACTGGTATGCAGGTAATGAAAATGGTCAGGGTGGGATTTATAACTTTGTGACCAAACGCGGATTATGTGCCGGTCAAAATTCAAAAATTTCGTGGACTCAAGTTGAAACGGGTTCTAACATTACGTGGAAATATCCAAGTTGTTTGTTAGTTGGTGATGAAGCACAGGGGGAATTCTATTCTGTTGCTCTAACTAATAATTATCAACAAGCTGATACTGGAACAAAAATGATTCATGTAGGGAAAAAGACTCGAAGTCGAATTGTTTCTAAAGGTATTTCTGCAGGACAATCCAAAAATAGTTATCGAGGTCTTGTAAATATTACAAGTAAAGCTGTTGGATCTCGAAATTATTCTCAATGTGATTCCTTACTAATTGGGAATTTATCAAATGCAAATACATTTCCAGTGATTTCAGTACAAAATGCAACAAGTAAAGTTGAACATGAAGCATCAACTTCAAAAATTGGAGAAGAACAAATTTTTTATTTCTTACAACGAGGAATTTCAGTAGAAAAAGGTGTTGAATTAATGATTAGTGGTTTCTGTAAAGATGTTTTTACTGAATTACCATTAGAATTTGCGGCAGAAGCCGATCGTTTATTAAGTTTAAAATTAGAAGGAAGTGTTGGATAATGAATAAAACTCCTATTTTAGAAATTAAAGAATTAAAAGCTTCAATTGATACAAATCAAATTTTAAAAAGTTTAGATTTAACAGTTAATAGAGGTGAAATTCACGCAATTATGGGCCCAAATGGTTCAGGAAAAAGTACGTTTTCAAAAGTATTAGCAGGTCACCCTGCTTATCAAGTGTTAGATGGTACCGTTTTATTTAAAGGAACTAATATTTTAGATTTAGATCCAGAAGAACGCGCACATCTTGGTATTTTCTTAGCTTTTCAATACCCAATTGAAATCCCAGGTGTAAGTAATGAAGATTTTTTACGTCTAGCCTATAATGCGAAGCAAAAAGCGAATGATTTACCCGAAGTTGATCCTTTAGAATTTTTAATGATTATTCAACAAAAATTAGACCTTGTTGATATGTCACCAGCTTTTTTAAGTCGAAATGTTAATGAAGGGTTTTCTGGGGGTGAAAAAAAACGTAATGAGATTCTGCAAATGATTTTACTAGACTCAGAGTTATGTATTTTAGATGAAACAGATTCTGGGTTAGATATTGATGCCTTGAAAATTATTTCAAATGGAATTAATGTTTTTATGAATGATACTAAAGCTATTATTTTAATTACACATTATCAACGTTTACTAGATTATATTAAACCTGATTTTGTTCATGTTATGCAAAACGGTAAAATTATTAAAACTGGAACTGCAGAGTTAGCAAAAGAATTAGAATTAAAAGGCTACGAGTGGTTAAAATAGGGTTTTTTTATAAAAATAAACCTAAATTATTATAAAAATAGTTATACTTATTAGTGTTCCTGTATATTTTTTAATATTGGGTAATTTACTAAATTAGTTAAATTTTATGTACCCAGATAATTATTATTCAAGTACGTTTACATTATTAGCGGAGGCAGAAGTAGGAAAACATTTTTACTGGAATATTGCTGGTTATCTAGTACATGGACAAGTTTTAGTAGTAATCTGGTTTGTAGTAGCAATTCTGCTAGTTTTCTCAATCTTAGGTACTAGTAATGCCGAACGAATTCCACATGGTTGGCAAAACTTTATGGAATCGGCAATTGATTTT